TTTTTTTAACCGAGTTGGTGGTGTAGTTTTTTATTTGCACTTGACATGCATAATATAACAAACCAGGGCTTTATACCAGTAATAAATAATATTGTATTCACAGGTATTGGAGCCACGAATTTTATAAAATATAAATTATATGATAAATTCAATAAAATTTTTATTCTTAATTGGWATATTTATTTGTATCTTTTTTTGAATTAAAAAATAGAAATCAGACCTAAACGCACTTTGGACATGATGAAAGCATATTGGACGCATTCACTGGACCTAATATCCTGAAACCATTACACTATATTACTGATCCTTGACACTGGCTTTCTCTCTGTCACTAGCTCTATCTGTCTCTCATATAGTCATGTACAGCTATAAATACAGGGAAATTTGTTCATGTTAACCGGGTAATAACTAGAGTTATTATATTATGTAAGTATACGGTTTAAAAATAGGATATAGAATMGTTTGATAATCTACGAGTATAATATAATTTTACTTTTGTCGAACAATAGCTACATTCGATAATCGACCAATCTGAAGGAGTATATTTCCGTTGGCCTTAGCTAGTGTAAATGCATACTAAAAACATGACGATTGTGCACGTCGTCGAATTGAAAAAAGAAGTTTAAAAACTCCCATCTCCATCACGGCGGTGAAACGAAAATATTATTTTCTAACTATATTATGCATATAATATTATACATAAAGTACGTGTAACGTATGATGACGAATTTGCTGCAAGCCAAGAGGAAACTGGAAAGTTATGAAGAATGTCGTGCACAGAAATCCCACTGCCAAATTCACGGTCACGGCCGTTCTATGTATATAGGTGGTACTGAGTTATTATGGAAACGAAAATGAAAAAAAATTCCAACAGATATCTTTGGGAATAATAATTATACCTATACGATAATTGGCGATACACATATTGAGATGTCTATTATACATGCATAATATCATGTATTCGATAGTAGGTCACGTCTTCTGCACACTCGTGACCCATTTATCCGGAGGAAAGAAAAACAGGTTTTACCAGAAATCTTCTTCGTCGGGACATAATCTTCGCGTTTGGTATTATATAGGTATATATAGGTATACGAACAATATACGCGAAGCGGTAAACCGTCATATTTTAATTTTATCTGACATTGTACCGACTTCTAACTTTGACCCTTTGATAATATAATATGACGTGTATTATTTTTTTTTTTGCTGATTCAAGATCGCTGCACAGAGACACTGGAATGATGGTTGGGAAAAAGCGGATTGGATACAAATTTGAAAGCAATAGAATTCGGCAGGTACGCCGCATACCATACGCACACGCTCGTCAATTTGCAAAATATGTATGAGAAAAGTTTTATCATTTTGAAACATTGACGTATTGTATTGTATTACGGCTTCTTTTTTTTTTTTTA